GGGAGGCGAGGGGTGGGAGGAGAACAAGAGAAATATCCTGGCCGGTTGTCGGCCGCCTCGGCAGGCACGGTGATGCCTGATATGGCTAGCCGATCGCACGGCCTATGCGTTGGGAGTCGCGGGAGCCAAGTGCGACCGCCCTGTTGGGGGCTCGGGAGAAGGAGATGCGAGTGCATGGACAGTCCCCGCCCCCTCTCCCCTCCCTCTGCCCTGTTGTTTCCGCGCCTCTCCCTCTCTCTCTCCCTCCCTCTCTCTCTCTCTCTCTCCCCTCCCCCCTCCCCTGCTAGGCCTCTCCTTTCTCCCCGTCCCGACCAATGGACCACCCATCGCCCTCGGGACCAATCGACGCGGCCGATGGACACTCATCGGGCTTTGTGTCTGAGCCATCGGGCGACACCTCGGCCGCCGATGGGCCCGGTGGGGAAACTGTGACCGGGACCCGTGCTGATGCGGAGGCCAGGACCGGGAGCCCTGCCGATGCGGAGAGTGCACTCGGAGGGGGTGCATCTACTGATGCCATGGTTGTGGATGGTGCCGGCTCACAAAGCACGACCGTCCCGACACCCGGTGATGTGGGAGACTCGACCACCCCCCCTCCGGACCCGGCCGCCCTCTATGGCGCTCTCCCCAGCGTGAGCTCCTCATGAAAATCTACCACCGGTTGCTGGATCTTTCACTGCTTTACCATCAAGCGTCGGTCATCTTGGACACCTTCGACCGGGCAGCCAGCCCGCCGGTTCTGTTGGCCTGTTTGTGCGTAGTCGCTGCTGCGGTCATGCCACCTCCCTACGGTCGAACTAACTCCCTCTCCCCCCCCCCCCTTCCTGATGTTGGCCGCCTCGTGTCCTTCTCACCTCAACAACTAGGAACAACATGTTCGATTGCATGGCCGACATCGATGCCATGACACCCTTTGTCACATCGGAGATTCCACTGGGTGTTCTCCGGTGCGTTCCGCGTCTTCTCCCTTTTTTTTTTCCCCCCCCCCCCCCCCCCCCCCCCCCCGCCTCTCTGTGTGCCATCTACCACTTTGCTGCCCGACATCGCCCCGTCACCACGTTGCTCACCTTTCCTCCTACCCCCTTTTCCACATGTGTTTACATGCAAACACACGCACACACAACGCCCGGGGTACCTTTTACAATAGGAACATCGATCGGAACCGCAATCCCGATTTGGCCGCTGAGCAACTCCTCAACGAGGTGCTCGTCGCCAGCCAGCACGCCTCAGACAAAATCTCCCTCCTTGGCGTAAGTTACTTTTGACCCCCCCCCCCCCCCTCCCAGTCGCCTTTTTCATGCTCAGCGCTCGTTTTTGCTTGGCCGTGCTCTAATCCCCCCCCCCCTCAATGCAGGACTTCGAAAGCCTCCTCCGTGCCTCCCTCTCGGACACCATCGATGCCGCCGCCCAAGATGGCGACATTTTCGCCTCGTTGGCAGCGACGACAGCCTCCACCGGCGAGCCGGCCCCGTCGGAACCCAAGGCGCCGACGATAGATGCTACCTCGGAATAGTGGCCATCCTCCCTTGTGTATGACTACATGTATGCACATGTGTGTGTGTGTGTATCTGGGTGTATGTGTGTGCACGCGCGCGCGCGCGCGCACGCGCACTCCTTTCAATACAAGGCTTCCACCTCTTTCGGGTATTTTCCCCCCGGCAGATGTGTCCCCCAGCATGCATGTTTTTTTTTGTGTGTGTGTGTGTGTGTGTGCCGATTAGCACGTCTATAACGGAGGAGCCGGTTGCTGGTGAGAACTGCGAACCGGAGAGATGGAACAGACACGGGAATCGAGGGGGAAAGAGGGCGGATTCGGTGTCAGGAGAGGGGCCACAAGGCGGGCCCTCAATCCCGCTGAGGCAACTCCACAGTCCAGAGGACACTGGCCCCCTCGACACGCAGGCAGACAATGCGCTTCGAGGCGCCATCCGCCGAGTGCTTCGCAGGGGCATCATGCTCGAGCACCGCCCGCTGACAGGCAGATCGCCGCGAGCTCGGCATTGTCACGGTCCCATCGCCGTGAATGGTTGGCTGCACCGGGGAAAAGGCATTCGACGAGCTAATCAGCCCGCCGAAGGAGAGCTCCGCCCCATCTAGAGGGCCAAGGCAGACAAAGAGGGACCGGAGGAGGGGCAGGGGGAAGGGCAGAAGGAAGGTCAGGCACTGGGCAGACATGGCCACATGCGCACACCAAGATGCCCGCGCGTACCCAAATCCCAAGCCAGGCCACGGCTCCACACAACCGGCCGGCTGTCGGAAAGGGGAATCAGCCCGCAGGTGGGCCCCTCGACGTCGGCATCACACTCCAGAATGTAAGACCCCTGAGGCATAGGTTGGTGTTAGTGGGCGCGCTGTCAGCCAGGGAGGGCCACAGCAGGAGGGCCGCACGCGGGGCGTACCGGCTCCAGAACCACGGCCGCGGAGGCCGGGCCAAGAAGCAAACACCGGGGCGCCTGCGAGGCCTCCAGCAGCGGGGTCGGCGGAATCGGGCTGCCGGTGGGTCCCATGGCTCGAGCCAGTCCCGCATGGTGGCCTTTGCCGTAGAGCAGGGCGCTGTTCATGGTCTGCATCGTGTGATCCAGCCGTCCCTCCAGACAATCAAGAACAATGGCATCCGCCTGGGCACGGCGAGACGAAGTGAGTGGTGGCCCGGAGCCGGGAGGAGCGAGGAAGGAAGGGGGCATGCAGGGGGGGGCGGGAAAAAAAAAGAAGCAACGTTGCTTTGACAAACCTGGGAGCCGAGGCGCATGTGTGCCTGCACCAGGGCCTTATCCAGATCGGTGTCATCCTGCCCGGACATGAGCACCACATGGGAGCCCTGTGTTCGGGTGTCCCGTGAAGAGCCCCAATATGAGGGAGATGGTTCGCCATTAGCTCTTGCCACATGCGGCCCGGTCATCAAGTCCCCTTCTTTTCCTTCCCTGTCGTTTCTTCAAGCGCACCCGTGTCGCGTAATAATCCCGGACCTCGGCTCGGATGGAGTCCAAGTCACCGGTGATGATGTCCGGCACGAAGCTTTCCCACCAAAGGCCGAGAGGGTGGGGGCCGAGAGAAAGGCGTTAGCGGAGCTTGCGATGCGCCCCGGACGCCGGGCGCACGCGCGATAGCAGAGAACAGGGAAGGGGGCCCCGGGGGAAAATGGCCGCGCACCGGGCCTGGTCCTCGGGGGAAGTAGAAAAGTGGTCAAACAGGCGATTGGCGGCGCCATCCGCACAAACAACCAGGCACACTTCGGCACAGAGGGGAGGGGGGGGGAGAGAGAACATGTCATGAGATTGCACGGTCAACGGGCCAGCCGATCACAGCGGAAGTGAAAGCCAAAGGAGGCAAGAGAAAGAGCCCCGTCGCACCCTGTGCCCAAAGCAATTGGAGGAGCTCGGCACTTCGGACCGGTTGATTGACCAGCACCAGGGAGGTAGGCAATGGGACCGGGCCCCCGGACGGGGCCCCTCCCGCGCCCGATGCCACCAGCCATCGGCTGATGGAGAGGACCTGTGGCTCGAGGCCGAGGGGAAGAGACATGAGAGAAATGCGGCAGGGAAGCAGGTGGGGAGGGGGGGAGGGAGGGAAAAGATTCTCATGCGCGCGGCCGGTCGGCCGTCATGCTCTCAACGGCGTGTGCCTTTTCTCCTCCGCTTCTCCGGCGGACACTCCGCCCTCCGGCCCCCGGGGCCGCGGGCGAAGATCTCGCAGGAGGCGCGGCCCCAGGAGGCCCCGCGCGCGCACACACACACACACACGGACGCACGCACAAACCCACAGCCTTCCCACGCGCCCGGGCCGACTGCGTTGGCATGTGAGATTGGCCGTCCTGTCGATCGCGATCGGGCGGGCCCGCCCCCGGGGGTGGGATATTGTGAAAAGGCGGCAGCACCTCGAGGAGGGGGGCCCTCGCTGGACATGCCCCCTCCCCGACCCAGACATACCCGCCCCCTTGCCTTCGTCTCTCCCTCTCGCCTGCCCCCCCCCCCTGGTCGCAGTTGCCTGTGCTCGTCGCCCGCCGCGCCGCGCCGCAAGACCATGATGTCCAGCCTCCGTACGTCAGCATCCTCCTCGTCCTGCGGTTGTGTGTGTGTGTGTGTGTGTGCCGATTAGCACGTCTATAACAGCTTCCCCTCTTTGTATGCGGGAACCGGGAAG